AAGCATTATACTTTGTCATTATACAAGTATTAATGTTAAGTATAAGTTTCCCAAACACTTATACTCTAAGTACAAGAAACTGGTAGGTATACTACTTGTATATTAAGTAGACAACTATAACTAGCCTACATACTCATATAGAATTGAAATAAGATTTATACGTAGCCGTTTTTACTCGTATAGAATTGAAATAAGATTTATACTTAGCAACCTTTGTTTGTATGGAATTACAAACACCTATATCCATAGTATATGAAACTTATAGGTATACTGCTTATTTGGTAAGTAAACCATTATACCTAGGATTAATATATATTATGTAGAAACAAGTATGAGTCAGAATAATATTTTCAAACTATGTTCTATACTTTTTGAACTCGGAAAGAGTATTATTTTTACTCAGAGTCAAAACCTGTGAACTCACCAACTTTATGTTGACGTATTTTCAAAACGCATGTGTTTTCAGGAACTTGATAAGCTGGAATAATATAACTTTCTATTATCAATAAAGGTACGTAGTTTACAATAATTCTTTTGTACTGTTCAATATATATTTGATAACTATGATACAAGGAATGACGTTACACCGCCCGGTGTTTCCGCCGCCGGCTGGGGGTGTGACAATAAAATACTCATGAAATAGTCTCAAGATGATCACACAGAAGCATATTGCATTAAATAGCAATGTACTTTACTCATATATTCACCACCACAATCTGATCGTATGGTTTTAATCTTTTTACCAAGTTGATTATGTACTTCATTTTGGAAAAACTTGAAGACATCAAATGCTTCATATTTGTGTTTCATGAGATACACATATCCAAATCTACTGTAATCATCAGTAAATGTAATGAAGTATCTTGCACCGATTCTGGTCATTGTTCTAAAAGGTCCACATACATCAGTATGTATGAGTCCTAATAGATCCGAAGCTCTTTCACCAACTCCGGTAAAAGGAGCTTTGGTCATCTTGACACATAGACATGATTCACATACATCAAACGACTCTTAGCCTGTTGACTCTAAGATCCAATCCTTTTTGGAGCTTAGCAATGCGAGTTTTACTTATGTGCCCAAGTCGACAATGCCATAAATAAGTTTTATTTGAGTCTAACTTTGTTTTCTTATTTAAGTTGAACATTGAATTATCCTTTTTGTATGAACCATTTAAATCGATTTCATATATTCCATTTTTGGGACTAGTCTCAAAATAGAACACATTATCTTTAAACACATAAATGTTTTCAGAATCAAAGTCAAACTTATAACGAAAACATTGTTCATACAAGCGAGAAGTAGAGATAATATTCCTAGTTATATTAGGTAAATAACAACAAATATTCAAAATAAGATTAAGGCCATTTGCAAGCAAAATATGATATTGCCCTATGGCTTGACAGCTACTCGAGTGCCATTGCCGACATGAAGTTCCAAATCGCCATCTCTTAGTTCTCTAACATTCTTTAGTCCCTACAAATCATTGCAGATGTTAGTACCACTTCCAGTATCGAATACCCAAGAATTAGTACGGAATGCATGTAATTCAGTCACATATATACCTGAGGTTCCAACCTGGTTGGCCTTGATCTTCTTAACTTCCTCTAGGTATTTGGGATAGTTGTGCTTCCAGTATCCCTTTTCATTGTAGTGAAAGCAATCAGAGTCAACAGCAAGCTTGGGTTTATGAGTTGGGTTAGTAGAAGGAGGCCTCCCTTTACCCTTTCCCTTGCCCTTGCCCTTGCCTTTCCCCTTACTGATATTATTACGGTTTTCTTCTTGGAGATTTGACCCTCACGGATAATCAACACTTGACTGTACCCAGATTTCTTGATGTTTGCCTCAGCATTTTTGAGCATGTTATGAAGTTCATTGATGCTCCTCTCCCAGTCATTCATTGTGAAGTTCATCACAAATTGGTTGAATGACTTAGGCAATGAGGCTAGGATCACATCAGTAGCTAGCTCATCCCCAAATGGGAATCCGAGGCGGGCAAGTTGCTCAACATAAGCTTTCATTTTGAGTACATGTGCACTCACAGAAGATCCCTCATCCATCTTGCAACCAATAAAAGCATTCAAGGTCTCAAACCTCTCTTGCTTAGCCTGAAATTGAAACATGACTCTTAGTTGTTCAATCATTTCAAATGCTTTATGGAACTCAAAAGTTTTCTGAAGTTCAGGAATCATAGTTGCAAGCATGATGCAAGCCACTTCGGTTGAATCATTAACATGTTTCAGCCGAGCATCTTTCGATGCTTTGGCAGCATTAGCTAGGAGCTCTTCTGGGATAGGTTCATCAAGGACATAGCCCTTTTTCTCAAGCTTGAGGATAATTCTCAGTTGTCTGAACCAATCAAGAAAGTTGGGTCCACTTAGTTTTTCTTTTTCGATGATGGATCGGATGGTGAGTGATGAGGTGGTTACAGTTGGGGTAGTCATCTACAAAATAATAATATTCATTTTAATATCTTTAATATAAATTATTTTCAAAAATAATTACCCTTCAAATTAAATTTTGAAAAGTTAAGATCCACATCACCCAAAATAACTTGAGGAGGTGACCCACAACTCAAGTGATTTTGTTGATCAGTAGGTTATGATAACCAATTACAATTCTTATGTAATTCTTAGATTTATGAGATCCAAAAACATTACTTTATTTTTAAATGGCATGTTCATCCCATCTATGCCTCAAAACTCTTATGCTTAGGTGACCTTTATCACATAAAAAATTGATCAAATCATCCATTTAAAAAACATGTGAGTTATATTTCACAAATGATTAGGTGACCTTTATCTCATAAGCAAATACAAAACACCTTGACTATTTTTGACAACTCAAATGAATAAGGTGACCCTAAAATCCATATGAATTGCACAAAAATCTCAAGTGATTTTTAAGTGGATTGCATGGAGTTGAAGTTTTGTAAATAAGAGTTTTTTATCAATGTTTTATTATTCTAGCATTTTAAAACATTTTGTATCATGAACATTTCATGCATAAAATATTTCATGGTACATTTAAAGTGTTACAAAAATCATAAAGTTGAATTTATTTTATATACAATTTTATCGGTTAAAATTTATATTCAATTTTAATCCGACGTTATAAGGATTAGAACCAGTTTCTAACTTTGTTAATAAAACAACCTTTTATTATTGAGTTATGGAGTTTAGTTTAAGTTTAAAAATATTTTAAACGTTTTTATATCTTTAAAAGTTTGATTACTTTAGAGTTTTAAAAAAATATTCAAAAACTCTTTTTAACAAAAAACTCAGTTTTGACATCTTATGTTGAAATTTTTATATAAAACTCTAAACCCCAAGTTTGATGTTATTTTTGTGAAAATGTTTTTTCATGGCAAACATATTTTCATACATACAACATTTTACAACAACCAAAATAACCATCACATGCATGCATTTTAAAGTGTATAAACAAAGCCATTTTTCTAGTAATATTTATTGTGAGTCATCACAACAAATATTAAATCATTTCGTAAAGGACTTAATGAGACACTTCAAGATCTTCAAAAAAATGTTCCATGTCTTCATATCTTCATAAGATCTTTAAGCTCAATCTTGTTACATTTTTATAAAAAATAAAATACAATTAGTCTAAAACTAATTTATTACATATAAAAATAAACACATGAAATAATACTTATTTATCTACTATATCATCATATGAATAAATAATAACCACAAATTTTCTAATGGGTTGTTAATACACAACAAACATATCAAACATACCAACAAACAACTTTTTGTTTTTTCTAAAACAACCTTTATATAACCAAAATGCATGGAAAAATGGGAATGAGGGATGGTTGAGGTTCCGATGACGATGCGGGTAGTGAGAGTTGTGTGTGTTTTTGAGAGAAAGAGAGGGAGAGAGAAAGTAGGTTAGGGGATTTTATTTTTTATTTTTTGTAATTATTAAAATATAAAATAAAATAAAGAAAATGTAAAAAAAATAATAAGGGCAAAATAGTATTTTTCAACATTTTTAGGACCAAAACCACAGAAAATTTGATTTTAGACCTTCTATGCAAGTCGGAAACTTTTTGAACCATATCTACAGTTTTTACGAAACCACAATGACCTAATTTTGCTGCTTTGTGTAAAAATAAAAAATATTTTTTATATTTTTATAATAAATCTAATGTATAATATTATACTTATTTAGTTTAAAAGAAAAACAAATAAATAAAAAATACAAAGCACTAATAACATGTGGCAATTTACGTCGCAATCGGTCGTGACATTGGAGTTGTCACTGGACTCAAATTGCAACCATTAAATGTACTAATGTATATTTTTTATTTTCTTTTAGAGGATAAACTGTCGCTATTTCTTAGCAATAAACATGGTCTAAATATTTACCTTTCAGTTTTTTTTAGTTCACGCCAATATCTCAAACAAGGATAAAACTTTGTAATATTTTCCGAAACATGTTTCAACATTTGATAAACAAATGTATCAAACATTGATTAAATATTATAATATCACCAAAGTTCAGTAGTATCCGGTGTTGCCCTTCCTCTTTGAGTTTGAGGGTTCAAGTTTTATCCTAGACATAGATGTAATTAAGAAATAATTTAAGAGTATATTAGATTTATCATTTTAAAAAAATATTATAATATTTTTGCATTACGAGAGGAAAGAAGTGAAGATGAGTGATCATTGCCTCCAAACAACTCATTTATAAGAAGTCATACTAAAGTTGTTAAATACTTAAATTGAATTAGAAGTTAAAATGGCGTGACTTGGTTAGTTGTTTTTATTTCAGAACATAGATTTTGCATTCATTTGGTAGTTATAAAAGTAAACCACAAAAATAATTGATTTATACATATGTAATATTGCAATATGACTCCTTTTAACAACATTATATTACATTTGTAGTTTAATTTCACTATTTAATAAATCAAACAATAACCATTCCATATGTTGTAATAAACTTAGATAGCAAATATCTTAACATATATATTGTTAACCTGATACTGAAACAACAATTTCAAATCAAGATACAACACATGAACACCTTACATTCAAGTTTTTTCAAATAGACTAATTACACTAGATATAAGAAGAAATATTAAAAAGGAGGAGTTGTTTTAGTTTTCATAAATCGGGGTATTTGAAGTGGTTAATGAAGCCTTGTGAATGTGTGCTATAGCAAGAGCGGTTTCTGAGACTTGGTTTTTGATTTGTGAAATTGTTGAAAGCATGGATTCTTTGTACTTTGAGATGGAATCAATCGATGCTAAAAGCTCATGAGCACATTTTTGAATTTCTTCTTCGTTTCTCTTCATTGTTTCTTGTAACTTTGCTTTTGAATTCTTCACAAATATGCATAAATATATATACTTTGTTAGATAATTAGTTGACATTTTAATATAAAAATTAATAGAAAATGAGAAATTACCTGAGCAAGTTCAAGAGCTTCTTTTTCAACAACATCCACTTTATGAGACTCGGCTTCAAAGCTTTCTATCAATTTTTGAGCTTCCATTGCACATCGAGAGGTGTGTTCTTGTGTTTCCTTCTTTATCAAGTTTAATTGATTTTCCACCTGATCAAACAATTTGTTAAAACGAATAACAAAACATACTTATAACTTCAAACAAGACTATAAAGTACTCATGAAATAGTCTCAAGATGATCAAACAGAAGCATATTGCATTAAATAGCAATGTACTTTATTTTTTACCCATAATAGCAATGTACTTAATTATAATATGTGTAGTTATTTAACTTAAATAATAAGTTTGAATGTTAAAAACATCAGAAAATGGCAAAGACCAAAGTGCAGTTTTTTTGGGGGGATTTTGGTCCAAAATGGAATCTTTATTTTTGGTCCCTATTTTACTTATAAAACAATCAATACTAATTTTATACTACAAACTGCAATGTTTGGAAATTGGGACTTACTTCCTCAATTCGTGATTGAAGTACAGCAATACGATTTCTTTTGGCATCAATTTTTGCATTAATGTCACGGGATAATTGCTGAAGAGATATCAAACTTTCAAGATTTTCCATTGAACTTTTCTTTACATCATCACTAGCAGACTTTAGTGCAGGTTTCAGTGTTGATTTATAATCCATCCCAAGCACCTCAGCAGGTGTTAAACCTTTGTCATTCAACTCATACTGGAAATCATTTCCTAGTTTCAACCTAAAAATTCAACAAGAAAACAAGAAATATGAATTAAGGGTTGTGATAAAGATGATTCATATGTCAAAAAAAGTGTACCTCCTCATAGTCTGGTTGCATTCGATCTGAAGTGCCTCAAGCTCCTTTAAATTTGTCCCCATGACAGCATTAAGATCCCAGCATTTCTCCTCCCATTTGTTCCTTTCAATCTCTGCCTCTCCTATATCTCTTTCCACTGATTGTAACTCTCTCTTCATCCTCTCTGCATCTCTCATATTCATAGCCTGTTCTTCCACTTTCTTCTTCAACTCTTCATTCTCCTCACACATCCTAACCCTCTCCTCTATTTTAGTTCCCAATTCCTTCTCTTTTTCTTCCAATAGCTTCTCCACAGACACAACATGTGTCTGCAACTGTTCGATTAATTCGTTGAACTTCTTAATATCCTTTTCCAACATTCCCTGTTCCTCCTCCTTTGATTCCCTCAGTGATGGCCCAGACTTCATTGCCTCCAGTTTTGCCTCCAGATCCTTCACATCTCCTGATTTGACCTTTATATTCTCCTCCAGAGAGATTTTCTCCTATTGTCAACGTTTCAGGAACCCAAATCAGCCTGAGTAAACTAATTTTTAGGTGTTTTGATTATACGAAGAAAAGTGATATTAATACCTGGTGTAACTTCTCCATGAAATTTTCATCTTCCCTTTCCATTGCATCGTCGTCTCCCCTTATGTAAAGCAGGTAAGTATTCAGAGTGTAGATGAACATGCTGTCGCCAGAAATCGACTGTGACTGAGTGGAATTTGCAAGGTGCTCGTTATACATTGCAATCTGTACAAGCCAATGAAGCACGGCTAAAACAGTAGGAAACATGTGAGGCGTTCCAGGGGATTTTAAGGCCGACTTGTTCATCTTAATCGGGCAATTCAACCATTTCAAAACTACAAACAGATCGTCCTCGATCTTATTACCAGGCGGATATTCGAGGCGAGTGAGAATGAATTTTAGGGTTTCGGTGATGTCTTTGCCAGACGGGAGGGGTTTAAGTTTAAAGAAGATCGGGAAGGAACATGCGGATAGGTAGGAATTGATGGTGGAAACAGCGAGGCTTTGGTAGGATCGGTCGTTGACGACGACGGCGGAGGCCGGACGGTGGTGATTGACGCCAGCAGAGTAACAAGAAGAGGGACGGCTACTGCAGAAACTACCGTCGGAATCTCGGCGGGTTCCTCCAACGCCAACATTGAACTGCCGTGGATCTACAGATGTTGGAGTAGTGATGCGGTGGTCGCCGACGAAGCGCTCCGTTGGAGGGCGGCGTCCGGCGGGGCCTCTCATGAATGATGATAGACTTGTGTGAAATTAAATTTTTCCCGCCCTAAAAAATTGGAATCAGGGAGGTGGATATCGGCGTTCTGTATGATACACTATTTTATACCCCCGTGCCCGTACGCATCGGGTAACTGTTTACATTTGATACTTTATTTATAATCTCATGTTTCTCTTCTATTTTGATTTTTTTTAATAAGAAAAATGAAAATTGAGTTATCTTGGGTATGTTCACATATAAATAAATTTTTTTACACGTCCATACAACTAACTTGTTTTAAGTATTCACAAGTGTCCATTATCACATGTTTTGGCTGATGTGACGTCTACTTGACATATACATTGATATATATTGTATATATGTGGCATTGTACATATGTATCATTGAGTACAATATAAATAAGGGTGAGATAAGTAGACTGCTCATTAATCAAACCCTAAGTCAATCCCTGGCTTCTTCTTCCTTATCTTTTTCTTCCAAACGATAGATGAATTTCAAGTTGATCATCCATGTGATTGCAAGTTACCATCTCGTGTGAAGATTTCAAGGGCCCCCAAAAATCATGGAAGAAATTTTAGAGTTTGTCAAAACTAGCTGATCATCATTCAGTTTAAGTTTTTTAAAATTTTTCTTGAAGAATGGAAAAGTCCAAGCTGTAAATTTTGGTAATGGTTGGATGAGGATGAAGGGAGGACCTATGGAAGAAGACATTACATGATGAAATTAGAAGATAACTGCAATTTAGCTTGAAACTTTGTACCTTGAAGAATGAAATCAATATATGTAGAATGAAAATCAAACAATAGAAGAACACCAATTTGGTTTTTAGACAAGAATTGGACAAAGCAAATTGGAAGTTGTTAACTCACAAAGTTGCATTGATTGTGTTATTTTTCTTGTATGTAAAAAATGTTGATTTGAATGTTTGATCTGTTGTGTATCCTTTCTGATGTATTATGACTAAATGATGTAGTTCATGATGTTTTGAATGTAATGAAACTTTGATTGTTTAGAAAAAATGATTACTTGATGTTTTGAATGTAATGAAACTTTGATTGTTTATAAAAAATGGTTACTTGATATTTTGAATGTAATGAAACATTAGGAATGGAATTGTAAAAAAAAGATTGGAATTGAATTAGAATGTAATGAAACTTTGATTCTTTGGGAAAATGGTTACTTGATATTTTAAATGTGATGAAACATTTGAATAGAATTGTAAAAAGCATTACAATTGATATTACAAAAGATGGTAAAAGATTCCAGGGAACATTGATTACAAAAGATGTGCCAAAAGTTGTTAAACGTCACACAGGGAACATGCATTACTGCTAAAAGATTCCAAAAGCCATCACAAGACACAAGATTCCTAGTCAAAGATGCAAAAAAAAAAGGGTTTATGTCATTTTTGGTCACTTAACTTTTGGTTTTGTGCTCATTTGGTCACTTAACTATTTTTAAGTTTTAAAAGGTCATCAAACTTTTGACTTTGTGCTCATTTGGTCACTTAACTTTTGGTTTGGTCACATTTAGTCACCTAACTTTTAGATTTGTGCTCATTTAGTCACTCAACTTTAAAAATTGTGCTCATTTAGTCACTAAACTTTTAAAAAAATTCAAAAGTTTAGTGACTAAATGAGCACAATTTTAAAAGTTTGGTGACTAAATATGACCAAAACAAAAGTTGAGTGACTAAATGAGCACAAAGCCAACAGTTTGATGACCTTTTAAAATTTAAAAATAGTTAAGTGACCAAATGAACACAAAACCAAAAGTTAAGTGACCAAAAATGACCTAAACCCAAAAAAAAAATTAACAAGAGTTTAAACATGCCAAAAGTTATTACAAGTCAAAAGATTTCAAGACAAAGATGCCAAAAACCATTCCAACTCATATGGGTGTTCACCATTGTTCCCCTGTTTCCCCTCTAACTTCTTACTTATGTTAATTTTTGTAATTCTCCCAATTGAACTTGAAATGCTAGTACTTCTTGTATAGCCTCTTCCACTTGATCTTGAACTGCATCTTGTCCTTGAACATCCTCGTCAACTTGAGCTTGCACTCCAGGTTGTACTTGAACTTCAACTGGAGGTTCTACTTCAACTTGAGCTTAAACTTCAACTTGATCTTGCACTTTAACTTAAGGCTCTCCTTGAGTATCCTCTTCAAATTCAACTTCATAAGAGTCCACTTCACTATCAGGTTCCATTTCAACTTCTCTATCACTTTCTAATTCAACTTCATGTTCCAATTCAACCTTTAGTTTACCTAATATGAAAAAGTTGAAAAGTTAAGTTATGCCAAAAATGTTATGTTATCATGTTCAAAAGGTAAGGGACCACACATACCATGTTTATTGGGTTTCTTTAAAAAAATGGATACATCAGTTGGTCTTCCCCCTTTTTTGCGGCTTAATGCCTTGTCCCCCGGTCTTCCCCTTTATCCTAATCCTTTTTTTTCTTTTCATTGTTAATCTTCCTAGTAGCCTTCTCTTTATAAGGGGCAATGGTGTTATGTAATCTACATGAGGCCACATAGAACTAAAATTGGGTGGCTTAATGGTATACTTATAACAACTTAAGAACATTGATGTGGTAAACCATGGTGACACATAGTCCTCTAGATCCCTATTGAGGTTTGAAATGCAAGCATATCCATGCACTCATGAGTAACATGTTAGCTGCCAAGCTCTACATCCACATGTCATGTTATTAAGCTGCAACATATGCATCATACCCAATCCTCACATCAAATTATTGATAACCAGATGGTACAAGTTGCAAAAATATGTCCACATACACATAATGACATACATATAAGTAAAAACAATTGAAGGACATACACATAAGCCTAAAAAATTGAAGCACTTACCTTTGATGTTCCTTAAGCGTATCCAACCTCAGTCTAATGGAAGGACATATGTTTAAGTCCCAAAATTGTCCCTTACTCTTCTGGATACAAAGCCTCTCCATCACATAAATTCGAATTTCTTCTAACATGGTGATGAGTGATCTCTTCCTGGCGGCTTCAATGATTGAGTTAAAACTATCTGATACACCATTTTCATATACATCAAAAGGCCTATCAGTCTGAAAGAATGCTTTACTCCAAGTTTTAAGGTCCTTTTCCATTTGATGATCATAAGCTAGTGGTTCTAGTTTCTTGATTTCATTCATATGTTACTCAAATTTTGCATGTATAGTAGATGAAGCAGCATACCAGAAAAGCTTCCTAAAATGTTCACCCTTAAATCTTTTCATGAAGTTAGCATAAATATGCCTAGCACATTGCCTATGCTCTGCTGCTGGAACTCTTTCCTTCACAGCCTCAAGTAATCTCTGATAGCATTAGACACAAAACATAAGCTTAAATAAATTAAGCAGTACAAAGAGATAAGAAACAGAAATTGATTACCTTGTGTTAGTTTGATATTACGGTTGGTCCATGCCCAACTCTCATTCCAATGTAATCAATCATAAGGTTAATAAACCACTCCCATGTTTCTTTATTTTCTATTGCAACCATATCCCAATCAATAGGATAAACGTGGTTGTTTTCATCCTTACCTATAGTTGCAAGCAACTGACCCCTGCATATGCCCTTTAAGAAACAACCATATAGTCCAATTACCCTCCTACAACCTTCAAACCATCAATCCTTAAAACCCTTTATGTAACGTCCAGTTTTAGGATGTTTCTTATTTCGAGATTGTGGACCGTAATTCAATCATGTAAAGTCATTGGTCTTCAATTAAATAGAGTTTAGAACCTATCGGATGTTGATAGTGTTGTTTAAGTGATTAAGCCCTCGAATTATGCTTTGAAGCAAAAAGGTAAAATGGGAAAAGTAATATTCCGAGCTCCTTGCATGAATTATGGTTTTATTTCGACAAGTATAAATTCAAAATTAATTAGATGGGATTGTGGGGCTCATCGATACCTTTCCGTGCATATAAAGATCATCGAAAACGGGGTTGAAACGAAGAAGTTACGATTGTTTGAAATTTGAGTGAAATTGGGTGAAAACATGTCATCATGAGGTGACACGCAGGTTGTCACGAGGTGAAAACTGTGAAGCCAAAGCCCACAAATTTTTAGGTTTTTTAAGGTATTTAAAGGTAAGGATTGATGGTTTATGTATTTTCTTAGCCTTCATCACATCTAGAACTCCTTGGGAACAACCTTAGCCTCCATATTCAAGATTTGAGCTCCTTCCCTCTCATCTCTCATCTTTTGGATGCTTTTGGTGGTATTTTGATGAAACTTGAAGATCAATAAGGTTCTTTTTGTTTCAAGGAATGTTGTTTCAAGTTTGGATCCATCAAAGTCACCCCATTTATCGACTATTGTGAGTATAAAGTTCCAACCTTGCTCTTTAGTTCTTTAGATATCTTCATTTGTGGTTTTTGGAACTTTTGGTCCATTTTATAAGTGATCATTGAGTTAAGTGGAATCCAACATATTTTGATTAGTTTGGAATGCTTCTTGGACCTCATGGAGTAGGAAAGTTATGATCTTTTGTCTTCCCTTTTAGCAATTCAAGTTATCTTGGTCCTTTAGGTCATTTGGGTGCATTAAAGTTTAGATCTTGAAAGTTTGTGACATTGTTATGGATAAAGTTAGAAACTTTATCCATCCAAAAATCATATTGATTCAGATCTGAAGGTTGAAGACTTGGACTTAATAGATTAAGTTGAGAAAAATGCATTTTTGGTCCTTTTTGAGACTAAAAGACTAGATCTTGGTTGTTTGAACCATCCTAATGGATAAAGTTGGAAACTTTATCCATTATGAAGCTATTGGGAACCAGATCTGATGATATGAGTTTTGGTCTTTAAGGAGTAAGCTCTTAATTAAGAAAAACCCTTATAACCGAAACCACGACGTGACCAAGGAAGGCTCACAACGTGGTGGCATGCTGCAACGCGTCTGTTTTGTCTGGACATGACCACAATGTGGTAAAGGAATTGCCACGACGTGGAGGTCATCTGAGTTGACTTTGACCGTTGACCAGATTGACTTCTATCAAACTTAGGTAGAATTGAGTATTTGACTAAGGTTTGGTCTCAGTTTTGGCTTTAAGAAGCTTGGGTTGGTTGTTATGTTGTTGAG